TGTACACAAGTAATTTTGAAGGATCAAAGGTAAGCGACCTGACTAGGTATCGCTTGCATGATCTCTTGACTGTAAGTTCGACGCCTTACCGACTGAGTTCTCAGAATTTAAAAGAATAGTAACAATATCTTGGCACGCGGCTCGATCTGTGATACGTAGATGGTGCTTTCCTAATGAGCGTGGAGAACGTCGACCTCATAATTTTGGAAGCTGTTCTGTGCGTTACAGTATTTGTGAGTTTCTCAATGCCTAATGTCAGGAAATCTATTCAATTCAGTTTTCATGATCTCTTTTCCTTTCGGGTTGCAGAGGCAGAGGCGTTACACAGTTCTTCCAACGTTTTCGGTCTTGTGCCAGAGTCTGAGCTTCAGCAAAAGACAATTGGAGTCTGGAACAGACTCCTTCCATATATTTGCACCAGGTTAATCTTAGCCGTCCCCTGGGCCTACTGCGGGTCGGTTTGGCAAGAAACAGTTGCTTAGCCTTCCTTTCTGGAGCTATTCGCAACACACGGCCAAACCATTGCAGTTGTGAATGCTCAGTCTGTGGAAGCAGCGGCTGTACACCAACGCTCTTTCAGATTTATGTCCCAACTGTGTCGAGACGCAGGAAGCCAGCCATTCGTCTCAGAAATCCCATTTCAGCCGCTTATATTTAATTTCAAGAAATCTAAACCATCATAAACCCAGTCTATATGAATAATCCGTAAGTGTAACTTGAAAGCAAAAATAAGCAGTTGAACCTTTTTTCTTCATTTTCATTGAGCGAATTGACTGCCTACGTATATTTAAGCAAATCACTCTTCCTTCAAAAACCTTCGCTAACTTTTTAGAAATTGGTCAAACAGAATAAGAACACTCACTGCCTACGCCTGCCTGCTTCTATTTGTTTCATAGTAAATCCGTGTTACATATGCAGAAGCACGCGTTTTTTCAGGTCAAGTGAGTTAAATGCTTGAGCAGATAGCGATAGTTATCGACTTTTCAGCAGTCCGAAACCGTAAAACATCCACAATTTGTTTAACATAAAGACAATTCTACCTACTGAGTGAAAATTAAATGTTTGAATTTAAAGAGACACTGGTGTGCATTGAAACCAGTGATTTGAGTTTGATCAGTGGTCTGAGTGGTGCAAAGTTTGATATGGCTTTTCATCAACCGAATCAAATGAAACACTACTGATCTCTCAAGGTTACTGTCTAGGTGTCTAAACGTTTAAACGATTAATTTGTCATCCTAATACATGACTGGCAACTGATCAATTCTTCATGCAGATGATACATGTAATCATTGACTATCGTAGAATCGAAACGTTCTATAACGGTGAAGACCTCCTCACCTACCAATGAAGTAATGCCTTGATAGGAGAGACAGGCGGTACACTGATGTCTGAAAATTATTAATGGTAATCGTACAGGGGCGATCGAGACACCATAACGAAGTAATAATAAACAATGATGCTCTTCTCTCCAAAATTGAGATATCGCAAGCAAAAACTGAGGTAGGAAAATGAAAGTTGACCCGATAATTTCTCTATCTTTTCAACTGCATTCCGCGGAGCTGATCGCATTGTTCAGTAGGAAAGGAAAGCACAGCACAAGATATGATTAAGCAGACATATTTGACGGCTATGATTTCTCGTTAAAATAGAAACAGATACCCAATAACAATATTTGTGACATCTGAACATGTACTGGTCATGATGAACAGCTCAAGGTGATTGTTACAACCTTAAACGTGGCATCAGGCGGTTGTACTTGGAAGTAATGGCGCAGAGGGAAGTAGTTCAACTTTGTACGTTCGAAACACTGATTAGAATTCTAGTGAGGCTTAATTCCAGTGAGACGTAAAATTTTCTAATTAATTCTCTAGAGCAAGAAATTCATCACATTGCGTTTGCTGAGATCACAGCCTTAACCGATTTGCATGCGCACGATCTTTCTGGCTTGTGACGAATGCTGTATTCTCGTCTTTTCGACATCATTGGTTTACAGTATCGTAGACGGGACAGTTTCTCTTGGAACGCAGATGTGTTTGCGCATTGTTTCTCTGCGTTACATGCCTCGTGGACGATGCCTGCCACGTTTCGACTCGCACACGATAAGCTCATGAATTGTGGTAAATGGCTCATGCTCAGTCAGTTTGTCTAACGTGGTAAACCTCTTTTTCTTAATCTCTACCTCTACTATGGCAACCTTTGCTTGGAACATAATAACCATTGTCTACGTGGTTCTGCAATTTAACGTTCATTGTACGTCGTGGCCATCTCTGCTTACGCAGTTCAACCGTTTGAACAACTGTTCTTGTTCCTTCGTTAGAACAGCTGTTTTCAACAACACCTGGCTGTCCGAAACAAAGTACATCGAGATTTTTGTGTAGGAGTTAGATTTTCAGCCCAGATAATGGAAGGATTACCGGAAGCAATGGAAACAACAGCGATTCTTCCGTATTACACTGATTGGATGGTGACATCGCTGCCGAGATGATGGAGCCGACAAACTTTAATTGGTTAACGAACGAGAAGTTCCTCGAACGACTCTTTAATTTTACGTTTCTTTCCTAAGTAGAACCGCTTTGCATAGAAATAAAAGCTCGTGACTACTAGGCGATGTTGAATCGCTTGAAAAGCATTTCTACTTATTTGGCTAGGATACATCAGTCTCTTCGCAGCATAATTTGTTGTCAAAAATTCCACAAGCTTTTGGCACCAACTATAGGTAAACTCATTGCCTGTTACATGTCTGATTGACAGCACATTAAGGTCAAAGTTATTTCCAACCCGATGTTATTATGAGATCTGTGTGCATTATTAGGTATGTTTCATTTGCATTGCAGGGAAAATGCTATTATATTGCTTGAGGTTGAGCTCTGTACTATGTAAAGCCTAAAGAAAACAGAAATTTAGCGCATTTCGAAATCCACTTAGCTTTACTACAAATGGCCATTTAAATTAACATAAACATTTATTTTAATTCTTTAAGCCTTTTAAAATTTATTCTTTAATCCTTTATTTTAATTCTGGTAGTTTTGCTGTAGACGAGGAAGTTGGCAAGCCTGAGGAACTTAACGACACTCTGGTTCGTAAAACTGATGATGGTGTGGATATTGCCGATGTCGTCTCTGACAGTTTCAATTTTTCTGGTGCCACTCGATTCCTGAAAGAGCCACCCGTAGCTAACTGCTCAGAGTTTGGCTTTGAGTGCAAAAATCACGTAAGTGCAGTTTAACTGGGAACAATATATACAAAACAACTTGTGCGTTAAGAAAGAGAAAATCGCCACTCGGCAGCGTTGTGATGGTATCAAACAATGCTCTGACGGGAGCGATGAGGAATTTTGCCAAGGTAACACTGTTTCTCTTTGTTTGACGTTATTACTTGAGTTTGCATTGCAGAATGTTTGACCTCATTCAGCTGCCCGGCTTTGCGAGGCGGTAAAATGTGTTTTCGCGGTGATAAACTTTGTGACGGTGTGAAGGACTGCGACTCTGCCTTAGACGAGAGCAACCTTTACTGCAGTATAATTTTGAACCTATTAAGCCAATCACGGGACGCAGTATGATCTGGAGTCTCATTTCAGAAAGCGAATGTCAGGAAGGTTTGGAATATAAATGCAAAGGAACCGGCAGGTGCATACCCTTTAGCTGGGTATGCGATGGAGATCCTCACTGCCCTGAGGAAGACGATGAGCTGCAGTGCAGCTCAGCTGCAAGTAAGTGCTACGGTAGAAGCGAACGAACTTCACTACTCCAACTTCACTGTCACTCAGGTTGCAGTAACAATGCGCACTGGTGCGCCGCGGACAAGCGTTGCATTCCAGAATGGGCTTGGTGTGATGGAGTGAACAACTGTAGTGACGGTTCGGACGAGGCGGAGTGCTCATGTCTTGGTAAACAGCGTAAATTGCCGGCAAAATCCGTCACGTCAGGTTTATAGAATGCTCAGGGAAAAGTGTTGCCTTGTGCACCGCCCCTCGAGGAACATGCATCCTGAGGTCGAAATTGTGCAACGGCGAAGCTGACTGTCCAAATGAGGAGGATGAAAGAAATTGTCCCGGGTGTAAGTTGATTTTTGTAGCCGTTCGAAATTGCATGTCGTGAAATTCACGATTCGTAGGGTGCGAAGCAGCCGACGTTCCCAAAGTGATGTGCATCGATGGGAACAGTTACCCGAAAAAATACGCCTGTTCTGGTTTGGTTGCAGCGTGTCAAAACAGCTGTGCTGCGTGCGACCCGGAAGTGGCGTTCCAGTGTGGCACGACAAACACATGCATCAGTCGTCATAAGGTATGCTTCGAGGATTGTGGAAAATTTTTATGGGTGTGTAGATATGCTTAGCTAAGGCTGGTCCTCGTTTAGGTTTGCGACGGACTAACCCACTGTCTAGATGGATCGGATGAAAGTAAAGAATTATGTGAGTGCGTCGAGGGCGACAGCTTCCTTTGTCCAGGCCTGCAGGCAAAGTGCATACCGAAGAAGTTCCAGTGCGATGGCTTTCATGACTGCATCAAGTAAGATGAGCAGCGAACACAGTTCTACCGCATCCCGTTTCTAATTTCAATCTTAGCGGCGAAGATGAGGAGAACTGCTCTTCGTGTTACAACAACGAACGCGCTTTCTACTGCAACGTCACACGCACTTGCTACCCGAGTCTAAGCCGCTGTAACGGCATCGTCGAGTGCGAAGACTACAGCGACGAGGACAACTGTGCGTGTGAAGGTAGCCACAGGAGTGAACGGGCGAAAAATGGGAACAGTTTTTATTTATAGAATGCAAATATCAGCTGAACTATAACACGTTTATGTGCCAAGAAAAGAATCGATGCCTGTCTCGCGAGTACGTCTGTAACCCGAAGTCACCGTACAACTGCCCTGGAAGTGATCCTGAGGACGAAAGATACTGCTACAAAAGTTCGGCGACGGTAGTGGATTCGTAAATTTTAGGTTTTAAGCTGTGTACATGATAGTTTTACCATTGATGTTGAATAACCTATTTTCATTCCTTATTCTTGTAACTGCTGTTCGTTTCTGCTCGTTTCGAAATGTTCAAAAATAAATGCCCCAGTAACGACTTATTTGTTCTGAAGGAAAGCAACGTACTGTAAAATTCAGCGAATGCTGGAAGTTGAACATCTTCTGTCTGAACAAGAATCACGAATTATCTATCTTTCCAACATAGTTAAGAAACAAATTAATAAACTACTAAATCCTTCAGTTACTGATACCAGATTTAGAAGGCGAAAACTGTCAAATAAAATTACCTGCTTTACAGCGATACTGCGGTATTGCAAGGTGGCTGGAAGTCATACACTACCTAGCATCGCTGTAAGGTAACTAACTTTACAATTTTCGCAGTATGTACCTGCTACCAGTGTTAAAAAAATATATTTGCCGGCGGAATCGAAACGCTGCCGTGCTGTCATTCTTGGCAGTGCTCCAGAACGTCAGGCTTTTCTTTTCTTTTATTTTCTTTAACTTACTAAATGTCGGTAAAATTATGACAAAATTGAGGCCGTGGATAGATCAATGAATGAAACCGTCACAGTGGATTCATTGGGCGGCAGTTACATGATGCATAAAAGAATAAAATCTTTAAATGTAATTCCGTAACCGTATGTCTTGTCGCCGAATCATCGATTCGCTCCTTGAGTACATGACTAAGCGCTGGAACACCAGCATCAATCCTCTGCCTTAACAACTTCGGTTTATGCAATCCACATTGCACTCCTTAGCGCTTATCTAAAGTTCTGTCAGTCTAATCTCTCAAATTTAACAACACCGAAAAAAGTTGACCTGGAGATTTTTTGAGAGAAGGCGAAGGCACTGAACGTGATAGCGGACACGCCCGCTACCACTATTAAAGTGTGTGATCAGATGAATGGCAATGTAAAGCCGGTCCTTCACTCTTTCCAAGGAACTCCCAGAGCTCGTTGGGACATGGCAGACATGAGGTACTGCACCGTCTTAGCCTCACCGCAAGGGCGAAGAAACACTCGGTCACTCGTGTACCAACTTAAACCTGCTCAATCAAACTTTCACTTCATCAATACTGCTGCATGAAAATAAGTCATGCACGATCATGAAGGTGGACACGAATGAAAGCCTTTTACATGAGGAAGCAAAAGCAATGCTTCAATCTTAGATAGCTCGACTTCATTCAGAATTAGTTGTAGCCGAATTAACTGGCTTACTCTCTAGCAGTGACGTAATTCGCTGGGATATAACTGCCCTCTTGTCACGTGACGAGACTGGTAGCGTATGCGTATCTTTCTACGCACAGCGCCCTCTTTTCTCTTTGAAACAGGAAGCATTCGCGACGAAGTACCATCATAGCCTTCCCGCCATCAGTGCGAGGCAGATCACGAGGCAAATGGGCGATGCAGTACCTTCTACTGAACTCGTCAGTGTCTTGAACAATTTCAAACCTTGGTTCGTCAGCAGAACGGTCCTAGTGCTGACCGCGCCGTTGATGATGGTGATCTTCCAAGTGCGAGCATGGCACTCGGTGGTTAAAATATCTTAGCGCTAGTTCAACTGCAAAGTATTTCTCGTTCTCTTTGGCAAAATTGCTTTCATTCTGACTCTTGGTCAATTAACAGCTAGTTTTATGGACTGAAACTGTTCACTTGACCTCTGTCGACGACGGTTAATTATGAGAGCTGCCTGAGCAATGGTCAAATTTTACTGATGTGGTCCCATTGGTATTGGCTGACTAGTTAAGAACCGCGGGATTGAACTTAGATAGAAAAAGTAAGAACACGAGCAATCGCCATCTCCAGTGAGCTAACAAATTTTTGGTTGTACGCAACTGCCACGTCTGTTCTCGCGCATGAGCTTGTGTTTTGCCAAAGTGGAAGCTCAAGGTTGATAAATAACCGTGGTTGTCATTTTGCATTAATTCGAAAGCCAACCACTCTGTGTTTGTGTCTCACTCATCTCACTCACTTTTTCTGCAAGACCGACAGTGATCGGTTTGAAGAGCACTAGAAAAACGCTGTTCGCTTACAATCTGTAAAACGCTTGAAATTTCTTGTGCTCTCCTGTTGTTGTCATACTGCACGCTACAGCACAGAAAGCGGAATTTCTGAAAATCTAATCGTTGTGAACCTGTAGAAGTTATTCATTGCTTTCGCAAAGTCATCGAGGGGGCCAGCGAAAATATGCACATATGAAGAAAAAAATAAAACATTACTTTCTAAAACTTAATATATTATGGTACACTGAATCGAGCACTTATGTTAATAAGATTCAGACTTCTTCACGTACTGGTTACTTTTTTTGATAATCCTTTTGCGTTTATGCCATGATATTTTATAATTTTTATCATGTACTTTCTCGTCCCAGAATAGAAGCCAGTAAAACAGTTAGTTTCCCAAGATGGCTAACCTTAGGATCCATGGTTTTATTAAAAAC